CAAATCGATTTTTTTGTTTAAATTATGATTTTTTGGCATATAACATAACCTAAAAGTCACATTATCGATCTGGGAATGACAACATAATCGATGTATTGTTGGACAAAAAGCATTTCAACATGTTTAACCTGGCCAGTTTGTCTAAAATCCTTTTCAATTTCACTAAGACTGGATTGTGTGATGGATATATTCGTCTTCTTCTTAGCCTTCTGGAATCAATTTTTGGGTATAGGCCTCTCTCAGCTCCTTCCATCGATTCCTACTCTGAGCAATATACCAATTTGTTGTGGATATTCGTTTATATCATCTACGTGCTCATCTGTTGTCTTCCTCTTGGTTGTCTTCCTTTATATGGTCTCCAATGTTGTATTTTGGCGTTCCAACATTGTCTAGCAGTGTTGTTTGCGAAGCTCTATTTGAGTTTGGTTATTTTTATTGTGATATTCTCGATTCTTGTTTTCAATCTTGCCCTTCTAGTAATTTCTGCACTTTAGTTCTCTTTGTCAAGTTTCGAAAGTGTTTATCATTGTTTTTGTCATATTCATTTTTAAGCCAACGTATTTGAAGCTGTTTGCGGTCTCCTCCACCATAGTTTGTATTCCTCAAATGTGCTCGCTATAATCACGATATCGTCAGCGAATCTGAGGTAGTTTAAGTTGTGAGCATTAACATTCATGCCATACAGTCTGTACCAAACCCTTCTTTCAGTGCGTCACTAATTTTGACGCCGTATAGGATTTTAAGAATGTCGAGAATTATTGCATGATATTTTAGTTAAATCTGACAGTTCGTAGAATCGTAATTGGGTAAATGTGAAAAGGTTATTTTTTTTAATGTGGTTTTAATTAGAGGTCCCGTCCTGTATAAAATTTTTTATTGCGCATTATATTGGAACGGCAGTTTGTCATAGTTACTATTCTATAAATATCAAGGAAAGTACTTAATTAGCTAAGATTTATTTATGGATTTATTATTATTTATTACAAACACCATGAAATTGGAATGTTTCTTTAGTTAAAATAACGCTTTCTCCTAGAATCTGAATTTTAAGATTTGACTACGAGATCAAAAAAATTACTGGCAATTGCAAGGCATCAAAGAAAACATTCCTGTGATAAATTAGCATCGATTGAAATTGTCATATTCAAAGAATGTTTCTACAGTGAACACAACAATCGAAAATATACCCATATATCGACCCCTGCAAAGAATAACGTTGTATCCAGCATTTATAATATTCTTCAGAAACGATAAAAAAAGATAACAATTTCTTTGATTTTTTTTTATACGTATGTGACATTTTTTTCGTGTAAGAAGTAAGCAGTTATATAAATGTTGAACTCCTCTTTTAGAATAAGGTCTACTTTTTTTATTAGAGAATAGGTTTTTGAACTGTGGCAGTTAGAGTTTTTGATATAAATATAAAGTTCCATCGAATAATCTTGTAACTTCACTTACGATGTTCTCATCGGAAAAGTTAATATGAATTTCAAATTATTGCTCATTGTAGGTAAGGAATAATAACAGTAAATAGTTTTTAAAATTCAAATTTTATTATAAACTAAATATAAATTCGAATTAAATTTAAAATGACCATATTTATTTTTAAGCTGACCTAAGCTGTGTTTCATTATTGGAGTATTCAATGTGTAATATATGGCTTATTTTAAATGGAACACCCTGTATATTAATAAATTATTAAATTAAAAACATTTTCTCTTTCGAAAGGTATACGGATGTCCTATAACTAGGACTGATAGTTTTGCCGTAATTTAAAATTTTGTTAAACAGAAATCGATTTCAAATATTTATAATTGTTACTTTCGATTTTTAAACCCATCATATTGACATATTGTTATGAACGAAACCAAACGGTAGTTGTAAATACATCTTTTGTAAATAAATTGAAATTTTTATGTCTGGATTTTTATTCGTTGGGAATAGGATAATTAGTATTAAAATATGATGAAAAGAAAATAAAAAAATTTGTTGAAAATTTATGTTTTTTAGATTTTCTATAATATAATAACTGTGCTGGCTAATGGGTCTTTACCAAAGCCATCTAATTAAATAAAAAAAAAAATAGATTTTCTACGATTCATTAAGTGAAAGGCAACTGCACAAAGGTTACAATTTTGAAAAATGACGTAGATATTAACTACAACGTAGATAATTTTTTGTATTATTTTAAGTATTAAAATAAATTTAATATTTAAATAAAAATAAAACTATAAAATATATTTATTTCTTTGAAGTCATAATAATAGATGTTCCTATAACTTCTTACGTGCTTACGAGCACTCACTCTTTTTTTGAAAACAATTAAATACATAACGAAACAGAAAGAATTTTAATAAAACAAATAATACAAAATGAATAATGAACATAAATAATACAAAATAATCCAAAACTTACTGTAAGTAAAAAATGTTCAGGTATGTAACAGATGTTCAAATTGCTTTTCATCTTGTGCAATACAACAAGCGATTCTATCTTCGAATGATTTATTTACATTATTTAACATAGCAGGAGTTATTGAAGCAAACGCGTTTGTAATTCTTAATTTCATGTCATCTCTAGTACTAGGAGGTGTAGCATATACAGTATTTTAATATAACGCCATTTAAAAAAATTCATCTTGGTTAGTCCTTGTGACCTAGGGGGCCAATTATATGAACCACCTCTACCTATCTCTCTGTTTGTAAATTTTCTGTTAAGGTAGTTTCTAACATCACGTGAGAAATGAGCAGGAGTTCCGTCCAACTGGAGCCACATTTTTGTTCGTAGGCTAAGTGGAAGGTTCTCAAGCAGTGTCCAAAAATCTTGTTTTAAAAAATTTAAGAAATTTGTCCCATTGAGATGTCTGTCAACAAAATACGGGCCGATAATGTACTCGCCTATAATGCCGCCCAAACATTAACACTCCATCGGTATTGGCGATCAACAGTAATAAATAAATTTTTATTTTCTGTGTCATAATAATAAAAATTATGTCTATTTACTAGATCATTATTATGAAAAGTTGATTCGTCTGTAAATAATATATTTAAAAAAAAAATCAGGATCTTCTCCAACGTTACCTAAAGTCCATAAACAAAAATTTAAACGGTTACCATAATCTTGTTCTGTCAAATGCTGGTGAAGTTGAATGTGATACGGATGAAAGTGGTTGGTCTTAAGTATTCTACATACACGAGTTTCTAATACACCCGAAATTTTTCTTGTACAACTATTTGGGTTTTCCGTAACAGAAAGCAGGACATTAAGTTCGTTAAAGTTGTCACCAATAACTGGTTTATTTTTATTTACCTTTTCGTGTGCAACATTATCAGTAGCACGGAATCTATTAAGTGATCTCTCAAAAACTTTCTTTTGTGGGTGTCTTCTATCAGGATACTTTTGAGCATAAACTTTAGAAGCTAAGAGACAATTTACATTCTCCAATGCAAAGTACCATGTCGACTCTTTCATGGATAGCGTAATTCTCCATTTTTAGGAACTATGAAAGTTAAAAATTACACACGAATGTTTATATTTTGACAATTACCAGACCGTTATGTCAGAAAATGAAATGTCATACAATGACATTAACTAACTATATCTTTTGTTTTAAAATCAATATACCGACGAAGAGTTTAAATAATTGTAAATTACGCGAAAACTATGAGACTTACGTATAGGACATCTTTATACCATTCAAAAGAGGAAACTTTTTTTAGTATTACGATTAATTAATGTCCATGGTGTTCAATTTAAAATAAGCCTCATATTAGATAAGTATTGTATAATCCAAAATTGAAACTAAGTTTTTAACACCCTGTAAATAAGTGTTTAATAATCAATAATGCAATAAATTTAACCATGACCCAACTATTTCGCTGTAAGAGTAAATTTGTTATAATTGCTTAAATAAGTCCAGAATGAGTATTCTTTAAAAAAATTTTTTGCTTATAATGTAGTAAGTTGTGGTTTATTTTGTATTATTTATGTTCATTTTGTATTATTTGTTTTATTAAAATTATTTCTGATTCGTTGTCAAAATATGTCAAAATGATGGGTTTAAAAATCGAGATTAACAATTATAAATATTTGAAATCGATTTCCGTTTAACAAAATTTTAAATTACGGCAAAACTATCAGTCCTAGTTATAGGACATCCGTATATCATTCGAAAGAGAATTTTTTTTTAATTTAATAATTAATTAATATACAGCGTGTTCCATTCAAAATAAGCCTGATATCACATTGAATAATCTAATAATAAAACTGCAAATTTTGATCACCCTGTAAATAAATGTTTAATAATTAATCATGAAATACATTCAAGCAATATCCAACTATTTAGAGGTATAACCAATTTTATTAGAATTTCTTAAATCAGTTAGGAATGAGTCTTTGTTTAAAGCTTTACATTTTAAGAATATTCCACAAACTCAGAACACTCTGTACATAGGTATAGGGAAGTCTTATGAAACTATACCTTATGTTTTGCCGACAATTAGAAAATGCAATAAAATATAAGGTGTCCCATAAGAAAAAATAGAACTTTGATACGCCACACTTTATTGGGATGCCCTATATATTTCAAATTTTAAAATGTAGCCCTTATCAACCTTCAAACTATAAATTTAAAAAATTTTTAAAACCTTTTACTGTTTCGCTGTAATCTTCCGTCTCGTTAGTGGTGACTCACCCTGTATAATAAAATAAAAATTAAGATTAAAAGTAAAGTCATATGCCTTCAAATGCTACAGTGCGGCAAAAGTATTTTTATTTGTGGTTGAACTATTTAATCCTGTGCTTTTCCTAGAAAATTTCTAGCAACTTTTTCTTTTTTTTTTTAATCTAATTTTAAGTTGACATATTTATATGAGATCTTCACAATTTATTCTGTTCAGCCGATCTTGAACGGAATTTTAAACAATGTTTTAATTTTATTCTGCTGTTTATTTCTACTTCAAACTAAGAAAATTCAGAAGTTAGGTATTAAACTATCTTACCACTTCAAAATTAATATCTTGGTGATCAGCAGTAACATGCTCTTGCAACGTTACATCAGTAAATCCCATACGAGAGCAGTATGGACATGTGTAAGATTGGGGTAATTCCAAACTGGTAAGAGCCTCACCACCATAGTACAGCTCTGAAAACAATATATACAATATATAGTAAAAAATTAATACTACAACTTAGTTTGTTAGTCATATATTGTTACATATTGTTCATATAAAAGAATGGTTTTCTAGTTAGGGGAGAGATAAAATTTCTGAAAATTAATATAAAAAATCCACAAGGAAAATGAAATTCCTGTAGTTCGCTGTATACCATGAATCATAAAAACTTTTACTTAAAAAAAGGTATAATATATATATATATATATATATATATATATATATATATATATATATATATTGTAATAGTTTTGTTTTTATTATTTTTATGTTTTATTGTTAATAAATATAATTTTAATTGAATTGAAGTGAATTTTAAAAGTATGTAGTTCGTTGTTAATATACTATACCTCGGCTAGCTCAATTATTTGTTCTAAGCAATCTGTCACTGTGTGACGTCAACTCTGTAGTCTCCTGGTAGAGTTCAAAAAGAAATTAAACCAAAATTTACTTTATATTTTTGATAAATTAACCCAAATGAAGCACGTTATTTATTAATATTGAACAAATTTAATATAAACAATAAAATTCGTCTGCAACTTGGGTTGCCTTTAAAAATTTACAAAAATAGGAATCGTGTAAACCTTAATGTGTCGTGAAAATAGAATTTGATTACAAAATGTGGAAACTCTCTACAATTACCTCAAATCTAAATGACTATTGCAACTTTATAAAGTGTTTAAATGAAATATAAAGAAAAGAAAACTGAACACTTTATGCCGCTGACTTATAACTAGCATTAAAATATAATCAAAATTTCAAATGATCCCCAAAATTATTATCCAAACTCACTTTCAAACAGTTCTGATTTTTTTTTTTTTAAAGAAAACTAACTACTCGCAAAATAATCGGTGATACTGGAATATCTATCCTCTCTTCGGAAGTTAAAGGTACGTACTATTTTATTTTTATTTAAATGATCATTAATATTTCAATTTTTAAGGCCTATCGCAATTAGTTAATTCATGAATTTTTACTTTTTCAATCTAAATGACATTTCTGCACTCCAATTATAATTTATAAGTCAAAATTTCTCTTACTCTCTGGAACAAATTCTGGATATCTCTATTTGAAAATGTGGAAAAACTAAATTATAATTAAACGATTTTAAAGCACTCCCGGACTATTCCACCTTTTTAGGGCTCTTCCTCCAAAATTTTCGTCGCCTCCAACAACCTATTCTTCCTTGTTCACCGCCATAGCTAGCACCAACCAAAAATTATTCGTTGCTAACAGCAACCCACTTTCTTTTTTCATTCCGTCTTCTATTTTATTCAACCATAAAACTGTCCTGTTTTGACATATTTGTCAAACCACATTAATTTCTCATAAGCACTTTAATCACATCTAATTTGGGAATTTAAAAAAAAAAATTCAGATATAAAACTTAACAATACTAATATAATTTATTCTTTTCATCTCCACATCATTGTAATTTATTTAACAAAACCCCTATTAATTTAGTTCCCACAGACTTTTGACAGTTTATTTTTCTGACGTTTATTTTTAAAATTTCTATGTTTAAATAATTTTTTAAGAATTCTTCTTTTTTTATTCCTTTTAAGGTTTAGACGATTCACCTATACACTAGGCAACTATACTATTCAGAAATTATTAACACTATACCAGGTAAGTCAAAATTAATTTATTTAGCAATTTACTAATCTTTTCTCCCTTTTATTTCAGAGTCGACCCCACATTGTGATGGCTTCATGAAATTCATGAACAACAAACTCATATAAAAATCCCTTTAAGTTATATCCTCTTTGACCTATTGAAATCATTTCAACTTCCCCCCAATTGGATTTTGTTCAGTGCTAACTATCAGCACTTACTAAATCTAAATTCTTACCGATAAACTTAAACATTTTATTAATATTAACATAACAATAAACTGACTTTTATTAATAAGCATATCTCTTGAATATTTTTTTTTTTAATAATTTACTCTATGAAAAATACAGACTTCTCCAAACAAAATCTACAAATCTTTCACTAATTATATCAACTTCAGAATCAAATTTCCAAGTACTTTCCCAATTTCATTACTTCTTTTCCTGTACTATTTATTTCTCGTACTAATTTCGTAGAAATTCTTATAATTGTTCCCCTCTTTATTTTATGTTTTTATTTATTTATTTATTTCCGCATATACTATTTCAGTATCTTTATTCATTGCCGCATTATTATTTATTCTTTTTATATCCCCATATAATATTCATTTCATCATCTCTACATACAACTCTCTATATTTCATATTTCAATATTTCATATAATTCTATTTTTCATCTTATTTTCGCATATACTATTTATCATTATAATATTCCCTATTTCCCAATTTCTACAAAATATCGATTTGTCCATAGTACTTTGCTTATTTATTTATACTTGTAACTCCTATAAATCTACTTGAAAATAAATCAACCTTTTTTGTTTATATAAATTTATCATTATTCTGTACATTTGTTCCTAATAAATTATTTAATTATCAAATTTATCTCAAGATATGCTTATTTATTAATTATCCTTCTATTTACAAAACTTATATCTTATAATACCAAATTCGTGTCATAATATTGCATTATTTAAATTATTTACAATGTTTTTGTTGATTAGAGTTACTTCTGAACCTGTATCTATAATAATAACTTGTATACTGAATCTTGTATGTACCCTTCAATAAACTTTAAAGTATTAGTGTTATTGTTTTTATTTAATTCCCCAGTATCTCTAATAAACTCCCTTGGATGTTCATACTTTGATAAGTAGACAATATTATGCACATAGGAGCGGTCTAAGCAAAATTTCTCCCTTCTGCATCAACACTTGCTTCCCCCCTATTCTCCTCTGTTCTAACTACATTCACCTGTCTTCTCTCCTCATTTTCCCCCTATTATATCTTGGATTCCCTTCTCTGTAAACTTCCCTATTTCTCGTCTCCTGTGGATAATTTCCCTGGTTCTGTCTCCAATTATTGCCTCTGTCATTCCCTTGTCTCCAGTTATTCTCTCTATCATTGTTTGGATTCCCTTGTCTACGTTCCCAGTTATATCGTCCGATATCTCTCCTGACATTGTTCAAATTCTCTCCCCTATTTGTAAAATCCCTGCTTCTATTTTGTCTCTCAAATTCTCTTTCCCTATAATTATTCCCTCGATTCACATATCCCTGTCTATTTGCTGTGTTATTCCTATATGTCACTTGCTCTTGTCCATTTCGATTCTGCGTCCCTACACTCCTCTCAATCCTCTGAAGATATCCTGTCAAACTTTCCATCGTCTTTATATTGTGGAGAGCTATTGTTTCTGCCATGTTATGGTTATATTGCCTGGCAATGTATAGGACAATCTCCTCTTCTCGCATAGCCGGTTCTAAATATTGTGCTGTCTGGAATAACTGCATTGCGTACAGATTGTAGTTGGTACTTTTTTCATAATTGAATTTCCCAAAATACAACCGCTCCCTGAAACTAGCCTGTTGGTTTTCTCCCCAAAAATAGTTAATAAACTTGGCCTCAAATTCCTGCACATTATTTATGGAATTTTCATTATTGCAAAACCATAATAATGGCATGCCCACTAACATGTTTCGAATATTCAATTTCATTTCTATTGGATCCCTTACATTCTTTACCTTGTTTTTGATGATATCTACAAATATTCTAGGATGTAAGTGATTCAGGTTTCCATCAAACTTTATTCCCCCATCATTATAACTTGGCACCACAGTACTCACTACTCTTGTTTGTCCTAGATTTGATTCCAAACGCTGAATCTCCTCACTTGCATTTTTAAATTTCTCTCTCAATTCCTCAACTTGTCCCTGTAATACTCTATCTCCCTTTTCCGCCTGATTTGCATGCATACCCATTTCCAGTTCCAAATTCTGCAATCCCTTCTTTATATTATTTTTTATAATGGTAATTTTTTCCTCATAATCCTGAGTTTGCCTTTTAACACTTTCTACCTCCCTAACAATCTCTTTATTCTGCTTATTAACTTCTTTGTTTATTTCCATTGGTAAATTCTCTTTAATGGCTGTTCCCAACTCTACAAATCTGCTCCCAATTTCCTGTCCTATTTCCGCTCTAATTATGGCCTTTTCTCTGGATATCTCCTCCTGTACATTCCTCTTAAAATTCTCACTTTCTCCTCTGACCTGTTCTACTTTCTCTTCTAAACCTTGGGTAATTTGTAGCATCTCTTCCCTGACTATCTTCACTTCTTCTTTGATTTCTTCCCTCATTTTAATTAACTCTTCCCTAAGTTCTCCTTTAATATTATTTTCCATTTTGTTCATATCCCCCCTAATATTGTTAATATTACTATCCATTTTGTGCATATCTCCCCTAATATTATGATCCATCTGTTGTAACATCCGCATTATTTGCCTCATATCCATCTGTGTCATCCCTGACTCTCCAACATCTCCTTCCCTACGTCTCTCCTCCTGCACTCTACATTCATTCACACTTTCATCACGTCTATCTCTCACTGTCTCATCCAACTCCTCTCTCAAACTATCTGTTAGACTTCCCTCTCTATCACCTTGTCCTGCTTCTTGTCTGCCTTGCTCTAAATATTGTACTACAAATTCTCCTGATCCTCCTCTGCTTTCTTCATCTACCTGTATACCCTGTTCCTGTTCTAACACCTGTTCTCCTTCACTCTCTTTCGGTACGATTTCTTTTCCATTTCTTAAAGTCATTCGGTCTGCCATTTTATCCTAATCTCTATTTATTCTCAAATTTAACTTTAACTACCCCAGAATCTCTACAACTCTAATCACACCAATTTGTTTTTATTTTAATCTGTGTATTATTAATAAATCTGCTTAAAAATTACACCCTTATTTCTGTTTTCCAGAGGCTCCACGTTGTTAGCGCCAATTGTAATAGTTTTGTTTTTATTATTTTTATGTTTTATTGTTAATAAATATAATTTTAATTGAATTGAAGTGAATTTTAAAAGTA